ACCCGTCGATTTCCCTGTGCCAACCAGGGGAGATCTGAGACACAGAGCGGTGTCCCTCACCCCACACGTGTCTCCGTAGACACATTTACCCCATGCAGGAGCCTCAGACTACCCAGGAAGAGCACCACCACTATGCCTCCCCCCCCTTCCCCCCAAAAAAACCCCCAAACAACAAATGCTCCCAAGAACTTTGTTTCCCGCTGGACTGAGCCCATCTAAACCTGAAATGGACAGGCACCTCGCAGTGCTACAAGTGCTGGATGAAGGTAACTTTGCAGTGACTACCTCTTACAGGTTTGGTGGGTCATCACAGGGGTACACGCACCTTTTCTGAGGTGTCTGTAACCAGTGTCTGCTCATACGGCTATGCACGCGTATCACAGCCCCCTGTGTGCATTTAGGCAATGACAGTATCTCTTTATACAGGCGTCCCTTCTCTGTCCTGAAGCTGGTGAAGGGACAGTGAAGACGAAGGACAGAAGATTTTGGGCTCTGTCAGCAGGCCCTGTGGAAACTCTTGCTGTGCTGCAATTGCACGAGGTTTGCAGTCAGGCAGGCAAACCACCTGCTTGTTTCCATACTGACAGTGGACACGTGCATCGCTGCCATGAGGTTTTCAGGCAGGTAAAAACAAACTAAAAAAAAAAGAAAACATTTTTCAGTGATAGAGACGGAGGAGGGGTGGACACAAACACACAAGAGCGCACCAAAACAAGAGCAGGTTGTAAAGATTAAAAAAACCCAAAACAAACCAGTAATTGCTTTGCTGTTTGGTCCTGTACAGAACAGCTAATGGCTGTGATTAATTCATTAAAACATTATTAAAACTCTAAGTGAGCTTAGGCTCAGCCAGGCAAGAGCATGAGTGTTTCAACTGGCATTTTAAATGGCATATTTGAAAGCAGTAGTCAGCTACTTTTCCAGATTTTCTAAATTCTTACCTAAAAATAAGGCCTTGACAGGTCATAGCCTCCCAGCTACAGTCTATACTGCAGCCTTCAAGGAGGGGAGGAAGGAGAAGTGATCATCTGAATTAATATAGTTTAATTTTTATTTTTTTTCCTAGCTTCCTATTGGGCAAAGAATTAATTTGGCTCTTCCAGAGCCCAAGTCACAGCCCTCATTTGCCACTGTATTTCCTGTATGAAACAGCGATATTTATAGCAACTTTCTCGGTCCCTCGCCTAGCTGACTCGTTATTGCCAAGATGTTGATGGAGCAGTAGTAGAAGGCAACTACTCCAGCCGAGATTTTTGTAATAAATTACCTGTGGACGGTCATCAGCCGCCAACCGAGTGAGTCAGAGGAAATTACTGTTTATCGTTTACAGAACGTGTGCGACACTGAGCATGCGTGAAAGCAAAGTCCCTGCCGTGAATAGCTTAGATTTAAATTAGCTGAGGCAGCAGAGGAGGAGGGAGGGCGGGCAAGCAAAAGCAAGTCTTGCCGACTGATGGCACAGTGCCTGGTAATAGGTCACCAAGCAGGAAAGAAAACCCTGGCTCCTTTATCAGCATCAGGCCTGCACTCAGGTGTCAGTGACTTATTTCCTGGAGATGTCTCAAAACACAACCAAAGCCTTTGTAGAAGGGAACTTAGCTCCTGCTATGGTGCAGATAGGACACCATGTTCTGTTTTCATGGCTAGTGGTTGAGAAGTCCAAGTAAGTGAGCCCCAAAATGCCAAGTATTTCTGCAAAAGACTAGCAGATGGCACGCATGGCAGGTACCGTGCACAGATGGTACGGACAGACGGAGTCTGGCGTCCCCAAACACCGCGTTGATGTGATGAAGGGAAGAAGTATCCTCGAGCATCCATTCATCAAGTTGGAGCCTCTTAGGTGGGATAAAGGATGCAAAGGTGAGTAAACAGAAAATGGCACAAAACCGTGACCGAGTCAAAAAGCTGCCATCAGAAGGGCGTGTGTTTGTGGAGAGGTAGGGAGGGAGAGGAAGAATTGTAATTGGGTCACAGGGACCGACAGACAAATAACAGGACAAGCTTATCTAATTCCTGGGCTGTCAGTACGCAAATGCCAGGGCAGGGGATAAACGAACAATTAAAGAGTTTTTACACAGCTAATTATGACGACAGAGGGTTTGCGGAATAAAATTATTAGATTAAAATATCATTAATAAAAAGCTGAAGAAAAAAAAAAATCGAAGGGTAAAGCACTGGAGCCATGCCACAAGAGCTACAACGAAAGCTGCCTGCTCAAGAATACAAGGAGCAATGTTTTGGTAAGAATTAAGTATCTGCTGGAAAAGCAGCGCAGTAGGAAACAGTCCACCAAGTTCTTGCAATAGTTTACGTAAGTTATGGGAACAGCTTTAAGTCAACCATGATTAATAGGATGATTCTGGTTAAGACCAAAAACATGTATGGAAGCCAATCATGAAACAAGCCTGTCATTCTGGGGGAAGGAAATAGTAAACAGCAAAATAAAGACCTCCCTGCATATTTCAACAAATTCAGATCTATTGGAAAGCTTCCTGTCAAGATAAGCCTCAGAAATGACACACAAAAAAGTATCAGAATATATTGCTAGGAAGAAGACTAAATAAAAAGTAGATCAAAATGCCTGAGCAGGGAACATTCAGCGGCTTTTTTGCTTCAGTTGACAGAAAGGGCAAACCATGATCAAACACCCCTGACAGGCAGGAGCATGAACAAAAGCTGATTCAAGAGTATCTGCCCCAGCTACATGTGTTCTGCTCCAAGAATTAAAACAAAAGCGTATTCCAAGACCAGCAGATAATACAAAAACCCAAAACCAAACGAAAAAACTTAAAGGAGGTTTTTGTTGTGCTAGAGAGCAACAAAACAAAGCTAACAGGTAAATCAGGGAACAAACAAGACTCTGGAATTTGAGGTCAGTCAGGTAACGTGGGAAAAAACAAGTTAATTTACTGAGCTTTTCTAACCCTATGAGTAAATGCATTGAGATGTATGCCACAAGTGACAGGAAATCCAAAGTTTAATGTCAGTGTGAAGAAACCATCTGTGAAAAACACAACAAGCATGTATACAACCGATTTAATTGAAAAACTGTTTTACCCACAGGAAGGAAAATGACATTTTTTCATATTGCAGTTAGTAAGCAGTAACACCAGAAGTTAGGAGAAAAGCCCAAACCCTGAAAGCTAACTAGCCAAAGATGAGTCATACATCAGACCTTACAAAAAATGTACAACTAATTTATCCAGTATTTACAGAGGTTTTGATTATGCAAAGCAAATATAACCTTTCATAAATTCTTCAGAGTATTTTCAATTAACACTGAAAACTAAAAAGCCCCCCCGCCCCCATTTGGCTATCCCCTATTCTGGGATAACTTAGCTAGGAGGCTCTGTGATATATATTGATTTATTCCCATTTTACAAAGACAGCAAACCAAAAAGTTGTCTGTGTAGCTGCAATTCTAAGCAGCAATGTTTATTTGAAATATATTTCTAAAAACAACTTTAAAACATCAAACATTAATGCTTCTGTTACAGATGTCATCCCACAACTGAGCAAGCAGCAAGATGTAAATGTAAAACATACAATATACTTTTCTTCTACATTAAAGGTAAGAGATTACACGGTTAAGCTCATGGAAACCCTACCACCAAAAAAAAAAAAAAAGTTCCTGAGAATTTTAAGATTGCAGTAAGGACTCTCATTTTAAAAAAGGTCAAGAGACAAGTACCTGGGATAGTAGCCTCAAACCCCTGAGAGCGAGCCCTGCCAGTACGCGGCTCACTCTGAAGAGTGCACAAGAGGCAGCTAAGAAAAAGCAATCCTGTTGCAACGAGGATTAAGTTTACTAACTGTAGTAGCCTGCACCTACACTGGAATTCCTGCCCCCTCCGCCCCCACAAAGGTCCACAAAAAGACTGGCAGTCCACCGACTCACATTTACATGTTCCATCCTAAGACAAAGGTAAAGCTGTGTGTAACTAAACGATTTTGGAAAGAACGTTCCATCATGTTAGTAAACAAAATCTCAGCACCTCGCAGATCAAAGAATTTTTAACTAAATGTTTTGTTTAGCTGTTAAAGATAGAAACCAAAGTCTAAAAAAGAATAAAAAAAAATCAAGCAGTAAATTCTTGAACGTAACATTGAAGAAATACTCAAAGAACATAACATACTATAACATTTTACTTCATTTAAGTACAGCAAATTTCACCCATCCTATGATTTATAAAGTACACAAAATATTTATATAAAGGAAACGAAACCCCATCAAAACATGACCATATATGTGTATATGTACATATAGCATACACACACAAAATGTGCAAATTTCTTTTAATGCAAGCGAAACACAGCATATGGGGGACAGAGCTGCAGAATGAGAATGGAACACAGAGTATTCTAGGAATCCTAATGATGTTTTGTATCTACAGCCAGTGCAAACTTACAAGGCACAAACTCAATGCTGACACTGTAGTGTTGTAAGTTACATTCAGGCACATCTCAATTCGTAGTTCTTCAGAAAAAGATCAATGGAAGTGCTACTTCTGTACTAAAGTGCCAGCCTTCTCTCAAAGTTTAAGCACTAAATTGATGTAACCTATATGCAACAGGTATCAGTAGGGTTTGGAGTTGAATTATCACTGGGAAGTCTGTGGCTAAAACATGTTATACTCCCCTCGCATGCGAGAGTACACTATTTCCCAAAATACCTCCCATACAATCTCCAAAGACTACCTATACCTTGCCAGCCTTGACATGTGGAATCTTACAGGATATTGCTAATGCTTTTTTTCTAACTTCAGTCAAACTCCTGCAGAAAGTAAATCCAATTTAAAAAAAAAAAACCAACAAAAAACAAGAGCAGCCAGCAAAAAAAACCTTCCGACATACTTGCATTTAACAAACTTTTACTAAATTGCATCATGACAGGTGTGTATCAGCCAGTAGAGTTAAAAACAAAAGCTTGCTGTTTAAGGCAAAGTTTTAACACAGCACAGCAGAAAAAGCCAAATACCAGTTCCATCAGTATTTAAACAAAGTACTGGCCCATGTAGTCTAATCCTCAGTGTTTTCTTTCTCATTTTAACAGCAAACCCATGCTTGCAGTATGCTTGATTAGCAAATCTTGTTGCCTTTTCCTAAATGAAATGAGAGCAATTAATATGTAGGCTGATTGAGATTGAAAACACCCGACAAATACGTTCTCTTCCACCCCTCAAAAAAGGGTTTTGTGAGCCTACTGGGAATTTAAAACTCAGTTGTACCCAGGTCTAATATAATACCTAAGATCAAACTAATCATGTAAAGTTTTCTAGTATTTCATAGACTTTACCACATCACTTTGCTGTCTCACCCTAAAATTGTATTTTTGTATTATTTTTTCAATAGAAGACATTTAATAGACATCTGAGGAAAACAATACAATACAAAAGCTTAAGGGTCTTTGCAAAGGTATCTTCTATTCCTTCTGCAAAGTAAGAGTGATTTTATTGGCATTTATTTGAAGTGCCATCAATAAAGACACAAGAATACTTAAGAAAGAAAAAAAAAAGTTCTAATGCTCCACACGTATCTTTGGTTTAGCCTTCCTGACCAAAGTCTTCTGTAAACTTCTTTAACTTCTCCAGGTCCTGTTCATTAACTGTTGGCTTTGTGCTAGCTAGTGACCTGAGCATATCAGCCTGTCAGGAGAGAAAAAAAAAAAAAAAAAAAAGAAAGAAAGAAAACAAGATTTTCAGAAACAAGTATAGTGCCACGGCTAACAACCTTGTTGCCAAGACAAATATGCATTAAAACAAGATGACCACAGGAACGCCCATTTACACAAAACTAAATAAGCCTCAACATTTCTGCCCAGAGGCAGCATTTTAACTCTGTGAAGACAGACAACTGTCAGCGAGTTTTCTAATAACGAAACCACAAGCTCAGGTTGAGGTTTAAGCCACTCATCCATTCAAGTTTTATTCATCTCTTTCTACCGAAAAGAACTGAATTTCCTTTTTTTTTTGGTCAGTTACTATTTTCAATACATTTTTACCTACAGCAGTTTAAAGTGGAAAATAATCAGATGTCCCCATGTACTCTTCATAGTCCAACAATATAGAACAGTAATTTGTGATTCATCTCTAGTGAAGTTTTACTGTTCATGACTGGTAATTTCTGTCTCTTCAATTCAGTCAATTTCCTAGATAAATATTTAGATACTAGAAAATGGAGTTCAGAAAAATCACAGGTCTATGAAGTTGAAACCAGCAGCTAAAACACCCTATGAATAAAAAGGGGCAAGAAAACCAAATCAAGTCCTAGCCAAAGGCAACTGAAAAAAGCAGATGTCTAACCCTCGTATTACCACAAAATCATGGGTAAAAGCAAAAGTTAACATGATTATTTTCTAGACTGGAGATTTGTCTCATCAGACTAGAGATACCCTGCTTAGCAAGAATTAAAGCCTGATCTTTTTAAGGGCAAGAACTGATTTTGGACACTGAACCGCCTATGCAACTATAGTGCATCAGAACCCAGGTACCATTAGGAGCACACAAGGAATTGTTATGCTTAATGCCAGGAAAGATTGATTAAAAATCCGCTTAGACCATGCAGGCAGAAATTTTAGGGCAGGCCTACACCTGCATACATCCTTTTGTGCTTCCTCTGTGTAAATATGCACAGAAAATTCTTTTCTGAAATACAGTGACGTTATATTTACAAAGCAGTGCCTACTGTTTGAGAGGTTTGTGATTCCCATGAAAAACACTGATTTCTTCTATTCATTACAGGACTGTTTGCACACAAGAACTGACAGCAGCACAAATTTGGTATCAAGTCCTTCCCTCAAACATTAAATTCAGAATCTTCTTTTGTTGCTCTTGGAGAAAAATACAGAATGATTGTCCAGCAATTTTTTTTTAAACAGTGAAGTAAAGTGTCAATTTGTCTTAAAAAGACGTATTTTATTCCCTAGCCCAAAGCAAGTATTTTAACACGCACAAAAAAGACAGCTGGAAGAGCTGTTATCACCTGTGATGAAATTTAACCAAAACTACCATTACATCCACCATCTTTTTTACATTTTATTGTTTATGCTTGCATTTATTTCATGGGCAATATTTACCCACAGCACTCACTTCCCAGTTTTCTCTGAATTTTCCGTTTCCCAGTATCAATATTAATGCTACAGAGTGATAGAAAGGAAGCACATAATGGGGCAGGAATTCTGAAGGTTTTAAATGAATAAAAGTGAAAAAACAGTAGAAGAGCCAGATGCTGTCTGTGGATGAAAGGACAGCAGCTGCATGCCAGCAGATGACAACAAAAAGAAAGAAATGCTTATCAGGGATAGAGAGCTGGCTTTTTCACAAAGATGCTGTACTGTAGCACTGTGTGTTGGGAATTCAAATGTTATCTGGTATGTCCAGCATTTCTGAAAACAAGAACAACTCATCCAATTGCCTTGCATAACCATTTGAAAAAGAGTCTTTACCTTAAAGTCTTTTCAGAGGTCTATAAAGCAAGAATGCTACAGAAGATTACCTACCATGGAAACTTGAGGCTCCAGTAATTTATCACCTGGAACCTCCATCCATGTCATTTCTATGCCTTCAGGATCACCTGGAGAGCAAGGGGTGAACAAATCTACCATCATATTTGGATTAGACAGTGATGGTCCTTTTACCTAAAAGTAAGAAAATACTCAGTTTATACGAGTTTTAATTTTAAAGACAAAAACCAGAAGCTGAACAGCATCTTTAGAGCAAAAACATTCCTTGATTTTATGCAGGTGTCCCACCCATTGGGAAGACACGTCCTGTGAAAGAGAAATTGTATAAACGTACTGGCATCATTCACTTTGAAAACATGCAGCTGTAGGCAGATACTTATATTCGCATCAGGTCAAATCCCAGCAGCCGCTTCCTCCTAAGGTTGAGGATTTCTGTGGAAAACTAACATGCCAGGAAATCTAGATGGAGACCACCCTTCTTAGTCCCTGGTCACTTTGGGAGTCCATTCACCATTGGTTAACAGCTTTCTAAAAACTTCTCAATAATTATCCTTGAGTGCACCTCATGTCAAGAAGCCAGAGATGGCTTTTTAATCTTGGACACAGTGCACTACAAAGTTCTCAGCACCTTTTCTGACACCACCTCAGCAGCACTCGCTAGAAAACAGGGCCATCTAGTGGGAGTACAGAAACTATCCTTTTTTTCCAGACACACAGACAGACCCGAAAGAGCTGCACCAGTTGTCTGTTCCTTTTCTGCAAGATCACTGTTACCTGAAGCATCACGCATCCATAGGAACTCAAAACATACGCGAAGATTGAAAGATGACACACTAACTGGCTATTCCTAACAGCAGAGAACTGGATTTACTATTCCAAACTGCATTTAAAACACTACGCTGAAGAGCACAGACTGTAATACTCAAAATGCACTCTGACAAACCTGTATTATCCCACAGAGCAAGGAGTGGTTTACAATGAATTAGTAATAAGCGAGGAAAGCACTGCTGAACTGGGGCAAGTCGTCTGTTATGATGCAAATAATAAAGCTAAGATTTTGCTTATAAAAATAGGAAATTGCATCCAATTAAAGTACTAACACCACAAGTGGAATCAACTTGGCTTAATGTCAGAGCCCTCGAAGTACTGCAGTTGTGGGGTTTTTTTCCTTCCTTTCTTGGGGCAAAAGAGAGAGGAGGTAAGAATTCCTTTTGGGTTGCTCCACAAACTGTGACAAGTGGGGTTATTTCATTGCTCCGTGCCTCAGATTCTTCCAAATTTGAATGAAAGGCTAAAACATAACAGCCTTTAGCCAGAAATGTCATTGACAAAGTCACCAATGGATAAATACTTCAGGGAAGGAAGCATCTAGAAAATCTTTGACAGATCAAACCAGTTGCTTATTTTTAAACAAATACGGTTGACATCACAGTGTTACTGCTGAGTTGCCCCCAGTAGAAACTTACAAAATCAGTGTTTCAAAATACCAATTTTCTTTTTAAAGGGGGAAAAGCTCCTCAAAAACCCTTTAAAATGTGGGTTATTTTTCCCCCTCATCAAAATGACAGGGTACAAAGTTGACAAAGGTTTCCTCAATGCAGGCTCTGGAAACTTATGTAACCCTCTCATATTCTGGACCATATAGGATTTAAGTGTTCCTTTTTCTTAGAATCTTCCTCTTAATGTGTTCCTTGGAAGAAACTACATGGGAAAAAAAAAAGCCTATCTTCAATTAAAAATTACAGTAACTGTTTAGGCTAGGGCCCTTAATCCTTCTACGTCAGGCTACCCTTCTACTGGTAAAAAAAGTTGTAATTGTAACTGGGATGACCAAGAACTGCTACAAATTACATGATCTAAAATTCTTCCTACCTTACCCAACCCCATACCTACTATTTTAAGGAACAACAAAATGAAAGCTTCCCTTTACAGCAGCAAAAACCTCTGCAGAATACCTTGACTGCCCAGTGAAATGACAGACCTTGCTGGGTTGTCTTGCATCTTTACTACTGTCTCAAGTAACATTGATTCAATGTTTTTACCAGAACTTTACAAGAACCTTAAGTTTTCAGTTTGAAAAATATGCCAAATAAGGAGAATGTGCATCATCATAATCCATCTGTTCCCATGTGGATGAGTGATACGTTTATTTCAACACATTAGAAATACACGAAGAACCACATAACTCTATCCAGAAAAAGAGCACTTCTGCAACATTCCCATTTAAGTCAAACTTCAAACTGAATGCTTTTAACACTACCTAGAGACATGAAGAGTCATCAGAGCTTGGATTACACAGCATGAATACCCAGAAACTGGCTCCACCAGACTTATGGTGGATGGGGAGGGAGGATGGGGGAAGGGAAAAAAAAAAAAAAAAAAAAAAAAAGAAAAAAAAAGGAGGAGGAATACCCAAGTTCTTCCCTGGTTTATAAAAAGGACGTTCATAAGCGTGCAGTATTACCCAAAACCAAATTCAGTTTACTTGCAAGGAATTCAAATCAAGATGAAATACCTCAAAAAATTTTTGATTCCTACTTACTTTTTTAAAGTGAGTAGCTGATTGCACTTTTCTAACAGGCTGCATCAGTGCATCACGTACAATGATGCTGATATCCGCACCGGAATAGCCATCAGTTCTCTTTCCAAGCTCTCGATAATCTGATTCCGTTAGGAGATTTGGAGTTGACCCGAGGTGAAGTTTGAACATTGCAGCCCTGGCATGGTCTTCAGGTAAAGGAATATAAATACGCTTCTCAAAGCTGGTTTAAAAAAGAAAAGCCAAAATGTTCCACAGATGCCTATCTCATGCAGGTGCACAGGGGAAAGAAGCTTATGCAAATAAGTATATAGCTTGTTCCTAACAATATTAGAAAGAAGCAGTTTCAGTATTATAAACCTTTAAAAAAAAAAAAAACTAAGGCAAATATTCAACAACCTGTTCTCATAAATAATACTGTAGCTAGCATAAGCTAACGTCCAGAATATAATTACTTCCTTTTCATGACAAAGATTTTTAATTCAGACTGAAGTTTTGCCAGATTCACTCTAGCAGAGTTTGTGTTTTAAAAGAAAAAATTGAGGGGAAAAAAGTCTTTAAGTGTTGAAGTATATTTGAACAGTTTTCACACTCAAAAAAAGAACTGCCCGATAACAAGCTGACACAACCACTTTCTACAGTCTCCAACTAAATAAAAGAAAACTTCATAGTTGGAAGCAAATTTGAAGTAATATTCTCAATACGGTTGTCAGTAGAAAACGTTGATAACTGCAGTTCTTCCTTTGAAGCAGCATCTGTTCTCACAGTGGGGATTACTTCCCACCGACAAAAGAGTAACTCCAAATTCTTTATAACACAATTAACCTGACAAAGTAGGCCAAATCCACAACAATTTAATTTGATTACTGCCATTGTTGTACAAGTTCCTTTAAGTGTTACGGACAAGAGTTAGAGAGCTACTGTTCCACACTGCAGAGTATCAGAGAATGGTTTGGGTTGGGAGGGACCTTTAAAGGTCATCTAGTCCAACCACCCTGCCATGGGCAGGGACATCTTCCACTAGAGCAGGCTGCTCAGAGTTCATTCCAGCCTGACCTTGAACACTTCCAATGATGGGACATCCCACAACTTCTCTGGGGAACCTGTTCCACTGTCTCATCACCCTCATCGTGAAAAATTTCTTCCTTATGTCCAACCTAAACCTACCCTCTTTCAGTTTAAAACCACTGCCCTTTGTCCTGTCACTGCAGGCCTTGTTAAAAAAAAAAACCAAACAAACCAACCAAAGCCAAAACCCACCACCTCTCCCTCTTTATTGTAAGCCCCCTTTACATCTTGAAAGGCTGGAATAAGGTCTCCCTGTAGCCTTCTCTTCTCCAGGCTGAACACCCTCAACTTCCTCCACCCTTCTTCACAGGGGAGGTGCTCCTGCCCTCTGATCATTTTCATGGCCCCCTTCTGGACCCACTCTGTCAGGTCCATGTCAGTCTTGTAGTGTGGCCTCCAGAGCTGGAATTTCAAGAATGACTTAAGAATGACTTTAAAAGCATCACCTCTAGATATGTGTCACACAAAACTACAGTCGTACAGGTTGGAAGTGGCCTCTGGAGGTCACCTGGTCCAACCCCCAATCAAAGTATGGCCAGCTTGAATTAAGCATATGAATGAAAGTCAGTGACAGTCACAAAAAGCTAATGTTTCTTTAGCCTACAGAAACTACCATTATCCAAGCTGTGTCCACATCACAACATAATCATACTTGGCACATAGCTGTGTTCGTCCTCTGCCACTCTGCAGCTCAGAGAAATATTCAGCTAATTAGATACAAGTATGGAAGCCCTTTATCTACAAAAAAAGCTATTAAAACATGCACTGAAAGACCACAGATTATGCCTGACCAGTAGAGAAACATGGTGTTTCTGTGTAACATAAGGCTACATTTCCATGAAATAACTCAAGCTTTTCAACAGTTTGTTAACAGCTGAAAAGGAAAGCTCTACCCCGCTCTTGCTCTTCCAAGATTCACATTTTGTAACTCATCCTCCAAGCCCACCAGAAAACCAACCAACAAGGAAACAGGATAGTTTTCTGCTTGCTCCAGCACAATCAGTTAACCAAGAGATCAAATTAACTACAGGGCCAATATAAGAGTGAGCAACCTACCTCTTTACAGGGGCAAGGGGCTATTAGTTTGGCTCACTCCATCTCATGGAATTGAGTTGTAGAACATTAGCCACGTCTGCAAACATGAGCTGGATTACTACCTCAAGTAGTCTCAGACTGAACCCTCACAACAGTTGCAAATTTCATACCATGAAAAAAATGCCACCATACCGTCTCCTGATAGCAGAATCCAAAACCCAGGGTATGTTTGTTGCTCCTAAGACCAAGATTCCTTCATTGTCAACACCAACCCCTATAACAGGGCAGAAATAATTTCATCGTTTAGATGATAAACAGAGACTATTTTAAAATGCTGCCAAAATTTAACAGGGTGGAACTGTAGATCTTTTTAGTGTTCTCATGCAAGCTACGCTTAAAATACGGGCCTGTAATTCCTTTCACTGATTCTGAAAACCAAGTAGACTTACCTTGCATCTGGACTAGAAATTCTGTTTTTATCCGTCTAGCAGCTTCACTTTCATTTTCACTTCTTGACCCGCAGAGGGAATCTATCTCATCAATGAAGATAATAGAAGGTTTGTTTTCTCTGGCAAGCTGGAACAAGTTTTTCACTAATCTTAAAAAAAGAAACAACTTCAGTTATCTTAATGATTACACCAGTAAAAACACATAACTTACCATTATGATACAGTCGCTTCCTTTAGAAAAAGCTCAAAAAAGTATTAACATAAAGCTGGACAGAGATATAACATCCTTCCAGCTCCAAGACTCAGCATTAAACCGAACGAGATAGTCCAGCATAAAAGGAGGTGAAACATCTTAAGAGTACTACAGGCCTGGTTTTGCAAGAAAAAGACCTTTTTTTGATTTACATTTCTACAAGACAGCCTGGACTATACAAAACCACTGCTCTAGACAGATTCAAAAGAACATGGCTTTCTCTTACTTAATATTTGTAACCTAATGAGATTAACTCTAGAGATTTCATAAGAAATAACATGTGCGTTTACTTTATACAACTTTACTAAATACTTCTCATATGACAAGAAAAGTTGGTTTGCAAAAAAAAAACAAACCACCTGGCCATATCTTATTAACACATTTTACCAAATTAAAAAGGGAAATAAATAGGAACATGCTGGGAAATTCTTCACATTACCAGCACTAAATCTAAGGCCAGAGTCTCAGATGAAGTCAAACAGAAAAAATGCCAAGCTGGACTCCAGTTCTGTCTTCCTTTTGCAACAGAAGAAAAGCACCTTAAGGCTTCCAGCTTTTGGGGAAAAAAAACCCAGTTCAAACACTTTATCTAATGGTCTTTCTTCCTCATCCTATCAACTTTAAACAGTGTTGCTCACTTGTCCCACACTTCAAACTATTAAAGCATGGTTTTGACATGTATTCTTATCATTGTATGAAAGCCCTTTCTGTACAACAAACCCAGAGCTTTCTCTTAATTCAGGAAACCTTAATTGGAAGCCTAGACGAACAAGTTCCTGCACTTCTAGATTGCAGCCAACATGTCACTTCAGGCTTCCTGGTCTTCTTCACATATCACATAGTAACAAACAAAGAGTTAGCATGGGGAACCATGAAATTTTCTTTCATGGCTGCTCCTCTCCTTCAACCTATTTTTGCAATGTCTTCCAGATTTTGTTTGAAATTTGTTTTCTCTTTATCCCTAAAGAGAAAACACCTCTATAAGGACAAAGAAATGCCACATGTTAACTGCACAGCTGCTGGGACAGATGAGCGGCAAGATGCCAAGAGGCAGAGCACCCCAACGCTTCAGACTGACGTAGTGTGCAATCACAGCTTAGTTCAGAAGGCGAATGAGCTCCACGGTGCTCCTGAAACCTTCCTGAGCTAGCTTTAAAAACTACCTTGAGCACAGCAGCACAGAAGGCAGCACATGATGGTATCTTTATATGGCACTGCAGCATGAAGCATAGAAACACCTGAAGTTTGTTTTTAAAAAGACATGACTTTCCTTAAATTCAATTTCTTTAAAGCAACTTATCTAGATCTATATTAATTTCTTCTTGCCAATGTTTTCCTGGACCTCTGGCAACTCCAACTTACTTTTCACTTTCACCTAACCATTTTGAGACAAGGTCAGAGGAAGATACTGAGAAGAAGGTAGAGTTGTTTGCTTCTGTTGCCACAGCTTTTGCTAAATAAGACTTTCCTGTTCCTGGTGGTCCAAACAGGAGAATCCCTCTCCAAGGTGTTCTCTTTCCTGCAAGAGAGAAACCAGCAGTCTTCAAAATACAGCAGAAAGACTGAACCTATTTTTCTAATGAAGGCCCTCTAATTTACTCAGAAAATTTCCACATCTACCCATGAAACTTCTGTCAAATGGATCACAATCTCAAATGTCAAATGGATCACAATGTTAAGAGCTCAGCCTGAGTCTCCAATACATTGGCATAACACTCTTCTCAGACCCCAGTGCTGGTCCTGACTGGCCAATAGCAAATAAATGCTGTAAGTCTAACCTGTAAACAGGTGTGGAAATTTAATGGGCAAGATCACTGCTTCTTTAAGTGCTTCTTTGGCACCTTCAAGGCCAGCAACATCACTCCATTTGACGTTTGGTCGCTCCATAACAATTGCTCCTGTAAGAGAAGATTGTATAAATTAGTGATGCACATTATCTTTTCACAACTTCAACAAATTCCATTTTGGAAAAAAAATAATAATTAAGAAATCTATGCCCATGAATAAACCCAAGGCATTCCTAAGTGGATATAAACACTGAATACTGTTAGTCAGATTGATGTTATTTCTACAGAAATCTGTTGCACTGTTTTACCGCAGTAAGCCATAGATAACCAGAATACTCGAGAGTTAGTAGAAGTCTGGCAATGGTCAAAGCTAGTCCATAACTGGTCAGCAGACATGCATTTAGTAGTCACAGGTGAGTACCTTGTTTAATAGGTATCCAGGAACCATGCCCTCACTATACCACCATTGTATTTCCTGAAAAATTTGAATGTAGCTGCGCTAGCCCAGGATTTATAAGATTCTCCAGCAGATGAAGTAACTTGTTGGGTATGTCCAGATGTGCAGCAAACAACTGGACCATCTAATGGCAAAGAGATTTGAGAGCCAGGGCTGAAAGCATCATAAAGGTTATACGGGGCCTGCTTAGCTGCAGAAGTATCTTCTGAGTGCAGCCATGTTCTCTCAAAGTTTATCACCAAGTCTCACCTTGCTCCATCAACAAGTTCAGCTTGATTTTAGCCAACTGAGCTGTAATTTAGCCTTCTCTTCAGACTGATTAGTCTGACATGCTAAAAATCATTTTGTCTTGACTGCTTTTAGATGGGACAACTTGGATCTGAGCTAGTGACTGAATATTAGACCTTGTAATCCTAGCCAAGGCAAATCCAAAAGGTAAGTGAAATTTTCTCAGATGAACAAACACCAACCAAGCCAATATTTATCTAAATACTCAAACACACTGGAAGTTTCAATCGCCCTATTTCTCTACAAGGATTTTTCTATGATTTCACAATTGGCTTTCACCAGCTATTTTCTTGACGCTTTCACCTTATGCCTTAAGAACACTGAAGTAATTTAAGGCTTCTACAGGATTGAAAATTTACTGTTACTCACTGGCTAATGAATAAAGCAAATAACACTTGCTTACTTTTTAAGTATCTTCTCTGAGATTTTTTTCTTTTGCTGCATTCCTTTTCCATCAGATTGAAAGTAACAATTTCTGATAACAATTGAGTCCAAAAGCAACATCATATTGTTAAAGACGTTAAAAATGTTAAAGAGATTGCAAACTGTCTTAGCTTGCAATCTGTATCCTGGAATTAATTCAACCACCCACTTCCGATGCATTGAATTCTTTTGGTAGGTTGACTACATCTCAGTTTTTTCTTAAAGTAAACAGAACTATGTGCTCCATGTCTAAAATAATTAGCAGAACAGGTAAACGTTCAGATAGGAACAGGAGATTATTTCAAAGTTGAAATACCAGCATTATCTGCACCAGAAATACCATGGTAACTGAAATTACTGCACTCTAAGAGATCACCTGTACCAGGACACAAATGGAACTGGAATCGTAGGCTTCCTAATTTTGTAGGTGTAAATTAATAGCCGGAAGATTAAGCAATAGAGTGCAAAAGGCCTTTAAAATTCTAAACTAGAGTACATGATAACTACAATCCAGTCTGAATGTTACTGGTTACTTCTCCCACAATAAGCCAAGTTGCTATTATAATTAAAATCTTGATAAATACCCATAGATTTGGGAAAGTTCCATAAGGCAAAGTCAGCTAAGAGTAACAAGGCAGCAAAATTAAATACAGGAAATTTCCGTGGCTTTTGTGTGAAGCAAAATGAAGGTGAGTAATTTGAAGGGCTGCCCAGAGCTTGTATTATCTGAGTAACACACTCCTGTGTTAAGTTTAAAGGTACCAAGGATCCTGCACCGCAGACTTTCAAGCAATCAAATGTATAAGCAAGAACGCTGTCATTTTCTAGAAAGTATCAAAGAAGTGGTGGGTGCAAGAAACTATTTCTTGAAGTAAGAACTGAAGGTCAGATTCATGTGGGAAGAAACGAAGTCTTTATAGTGAGAGACAGGATAAGAGTCCACTGCTCATCATTACGTCAGTTTAAAATACGGGAAACTGCTCCATAGAACTGTGCATAGGATTAAATAAATGTGTAGAGAAGCAGAAAAACAATAGCACAGTTTCCAAACATGATACAATAGCTCCTGAAATTACACAGAGATCTGGTAAATGCATTTGATCTTTGTTACGCTGAAAAATACAGGGAGAACAATGAAGCTTCTTCAAATACATAAGCACCTTCTGGCAGGGAAGCTCTGAACAATTCTTCACCATTAAAGGGTAATAAATATCAAACAAAGCCTCTTTTTTACTGTGTACAAAACTATTGGTAGCTGCTATACATTGCATCACTGGCTGTATTCAGCATTTGAGTTCAAAAACCCAAACTATTATGTTACTCAACTGGGACAGCATCATCACTTCATATGAGAAGACGCTGCCTGTTACTATAAACAAGCAAGAATCCATATTCTCAACTCCTAAACTCGAGCAAAAGGTCCTGCTTACACTAAGTGTCTGTATCATGTCTGTTACCTTAGCCTCTAGGCAATACTCTAATGCACTTAAGAGTAAAAAATACTGATTCACTTTAGCCAATAGGTACCTAGGATCCTGCAACTTCTTTTGGAAAATGCTATCCTGATAAATGGTACAATTTTAATGTAAAGCACAGGGTATAGGAGATAAAGTTCAACATAGTCACTGTATAATTTCATGGCACACAAACCCATACTTCCATAAAGACTATGCTTTTGTACGTGAAGAGTTGAGCCATTTACAGACAGTAAGTTAATCCACAACATTTAGGCAGCAAAAATATAGGAATTTGCTTGACTGAAGCCACCCCTATTAAAAGAAAAGGATGCTTCAAAATTACCTTGAAGTTGATTCTGTAGCTTCTTTTTTTCCGGATCCTCTGACTCCCCTTCCCCATCACTGTCATTCCTGATTTGGAAACAAGAAAAAATGTTGAAATACAATAAAAGAGACTGCTGTCTTAGGATAAAAATCAGAATGTAAAAAGCAGAAAAACACACCAGGAATGAAAGAAACCTCAAGATGCATTTAGATCTCTACAAGTTCAAAAAATTGTATGCCTGCTTTCCTACACCACATTCTTTCTAATTCACTCTCCTCACCTTTTCAACTTCCTCTTATGGGTCTGAGCCCTCTTAACACACTTCCATGTGCTTTGAGCCAGCCTCTAGGAAACAAAAGCCCTTATATCGAGCAACATGGAAGCACTAAAATGGTTTATTTGTAGACATTGGCACTTATCCCCTATCTGGAACTGCACTAGGACTTGGTCAATTCCATCTAGTACTGTGAAACTCTACACCCTCGTCTTGTCAGAGCAAAGGAAATAGGAAGTTAAAGGAAAAAAAAAGCAGACTAGATAGCAAACAACTGCAGTGGCGATCATGAAAATACATGTAGCCTCTGTGATATTACCAACTCCTTCTATTATAAACCAGCAGAACACAGTATAGCTCAAAAAATAAAACTGATGAGACAAGTAGACAATGAAGGAGACTGAAAATCAGGTGAAGTTTCAAGAGACAGTTGAGCAACTCTAGCTGTTCAGGACTGCTAGAAAGGGCAATCCCACCAGAAGCTATCATCCTGAACTCTTCCTCTCCTATCCCTATAAAGGCAGCTGCAAACGCAAAAGAGGCTGTGCTTGTTCAGGTGGCTCTGCTTGTTCAGCTCTTGATATGCAGAATGAAAAACAAATCTAATAAAAGGAAAGCAGAGAGACTAGGCAGCAGCAAGGCATTAGACTGGTTCAGTCCATCTTACAGAACTTCACCCTACATAGAGCTTCGCAACTCTTATGAAGTGTGACACCGATCAAACTCAGGCCGCAGTAATCAGTCTGAATTTTCTAGTTAGTAAGTATTTACATGTAGAAAAATTTTAAGGGTCATCGGGCTCATTGCCACTAAATCCGATAAGCATGTGTTAGTCCGAAACAGCTTTCATTCTTCAGTGAATTTCCTATGCAACTGTTCACACACTTCAGTAAACAAGCACAGAAATGCCCGTGATGCTAATTCATGTTATTTTTCTTTTAAGCACACTGTATTTCAGCATCAGTTGTCACCTGAAGCATTTAAAAAACACTAGTTAAAATAATCTTTGAAGAACTGAATTTTAGAATAAGCTGAGTTCAGGAAGTATTTTGCTTTACCTTCTCCAAAAACATACCCTTTTCCATCAGTAGGACCAGACTCTTTAACTGGTTTTGGTGCAGTTTTTTCTCTCTTTTTCAGATATTCTTTCAGCTTTTCTGCTCTGTCCAAGTATTCTGTACATTTCGTTCTAATGCTCTGTTTTGCTTTATCACCCTGTGCTTCATCTAAGAGTTTGAAGAGAAACAATGCTTTGTTAACAGCAAAACACACGTGCATCAATCAGAAAACAAGACTAAATCTCTGTTGTCTTTATCTCTTATCGATATACCTCTCTCAGGGCTCACCACATAACCAAACACCTCAACTACTTATTTTTTCAGCTATACCATGGAAAGAAGCGACAGGAAGGAGCTCATCACCTACTAGAAATCAAATATACACCTGAACATTGCTTTGGCTTAAAATTTGGCTGTAAAGGAATAAGGACAATGGCACTGGAAGCTTTTCTGTCAGCCTTTAAAGCTGCTACACATTGTCTTAACTCCTTTTCTAAAATAGCTCATCAAGAAGCTGCTTGCACTGAGCATTTCTTATTTAGAAACATTTTATTTTTCCATAGCCTGCTAATTCTAAAAGATGTTCACCTTATGAAGAAAAAAAATTACATAAAACATCTGAAAGAGTTCAGTGTGGTTCAACAGCCATGCTGTTCTCTTAGTCACTATTACACTATTTCAAATCAGCAATCAAAATGTAACATGTTAGGTTTACATGTTAAGTTTCCAAAAGTACATTAGTGTTGTTAAAAGCACAGAAAATGATATTCTGATACCTGTAAGATATAAATGGATAGGAAGTGATAAACACAAATTATCCTAAGTGAAAGGTTGGACTAGATGATCGTTGAGGTCCCTTCCAACCTAGGATCCTATGATTCTGTGACTATAAAAAAAGTGGGTTTTTTTCAAATCATGGAGATTTTTAAGTGCCCTTATGTCAGGTAAGCAACCCTAGCCTACTTAGATTAGGGCTGTACGTATATTAATAAAGCCCACTCCTCGCATACAAACACTGGACATGACGCAAAAGGTACACAGAAGTGTGAAAAGAAAGGCATAAAATAATGAGAATATGGAAACTGAAGAAAAATTACAACATACAAATCCATCTCGCACGTTTTGTTGGCCAAGACGAATGGTAAGACTACGACATTAAGGAGCAAAAAAATGTCAGCAGTGAGGTTGTAGAAAGGCAAGTGGCATGAGTTAAGGAGCAAAAAAACACTCCGTAGATACAACAAAGACTTCTTGTGCAACACGTGGTTTTCAGCACAATGGAAATATAGGGATCTCTGTAGTTATTGTCACACTTCTTCATGCGCAGTGGCCAGCCTGAAACATTGCTACAGAAGTCCAGAGGAGAGAGAGCAAAGCCCTGCCTGTCTTAAAAAAAAACAACCCTAAAACAAAAATAAAAAGTAATCTGATTTCTTACGAGAATAGAGCAAGCACACAACGCAGTAAAGGCAAAAGCTGCAAACTATACAACCTCAGTCAAACTACAATTAGCAAGTATCAAGTGATGAAGAAAGTAAAAATTCAAATACTGCTGTCAACATAAGAGATTACTCTGGGCAATTTGACTACTAAACCCTGCTTAATGATCCAATACATTACACTTACATTTAACAACATGGAGAAAATACTGCACAGCGTGTTGGTACAAACGGAAAGCTTCCTCATAGTTTCCTGCTTTATCTTCTTGCGCTGCCTTGCTAGCAAGGTCTATTGCTTTCTGTAACACAAGCAAACAATTAAGTGCTGCATGAGAGCATTTTGCATGCTCAAAGAGACATTTTAAGCTGTTGCTCTGACTGTTTTTTGATGGACAGTTTTTCTGCTCTTTGACATTTACCCCAAAGAGTTGAAGGCAACTGATTGCAAGTCTTAGGTGGTGCTTTGTACATGACACAATATTTCTACCCTTTTATGAACAGTGATTAACAAACTGCTGAAATTTACTAGCACACAAGATAGTGTGAGAAGAACAAGTTTGTGTGTACTACGTTGGAACTACTACCGGTTTGTCTAGGCAGTTTTCCTTACCAATGTCTTGCATTTATTATGGAAAGATTTGGAAATCCATTCCAAGTTTCTTCATCGCAGACCCAGACACTTTGAACTATGAGTTATGACATCAGTAAACCCTGTTAACAGCAGAGCCAATACAGGAAGTACGTGATTGCATTGCACTGAAACTAGCACTATCACTTTTCCAACCCTGTGTGGGAGACAGCTTCAAAGACTATTTATTTGGCTTCTCTAGAAGGATTCAGGATCTTGATATCTTAAGGGAGAAATTCTAATTACCACTCAAAGTGTGTGTGTGGGGCGGGGGGCGAGGAAAAAAAACCTGCTATACAGAAAACATACCCAAATGATAAGCATCAAGAAATGTTGCAGGAGAAGTTATGGATGGATTTTTGATTTGTTTGTTGAGCTAGTTTCAAATCAAACTGACTGTGATCTAAACCATCGTATTGCATACAGTGTAGATTTCTTGGTATCACCGTTATTCCTTTGTTCTTCAAGTGCTTATTACCTTTTATTACCCTTTGCTCCTTGGAATGTCTATACCACTTCAGGACAATTAAAACTGTCAGCTTGAACAACTAGTTCATGTAAGTTTAAAAAAAGGCAGTTACTTAGCCAGGGTTAACCTACAGTAAGTAAATCTTCTATAGGCCCACACGTATTTTCCCACATTCAGTCAATTTCTTTTCCTAAACATTGCTAGTATGCTCAGGATGGTTATGGTAATGTTGGGGAGCAAGGTGGAGAGTTTCAACTGCAGCAAGGAGTTTTCATTAGACATTCTAGTACAGATACTCTTGCCACTATCCAGACACTCTGATGTGTACAAAGCTAGTAAACAGTAGCCGTCAGAGAAGAAACAGCGAAATCTCTCGTTCTACTGCTTTGTGCCACTGTCTTGGAAGCAAAGATCAGCTCATCAGATCTACCTGAAATCAGAGAGTAATTTATTTAAAAACAGTGATCCCATAAAGCAGACTCTACAGCAATGTTGTGGCAAGTGTTGGAACACTGTAAGCACGTGTTTCTTTGGCACAGAACTTAGTCTTTCCTTTTTGGAGGAGACAGGAGCTGATAACCAGTTTACTATGTACGAATGGGCAGTCCCCTCCTTGCTGCTCACCTTGTGCTGGCTCCGTTAGGCCCCTCTATGCACCATTCAATTCCAGCAAAAGAGCAAAAACGAACCCAAAAAGAAGTGACTTTCTTCTTAAAGTTCTTAAGTCCCTGACTTAAATTATCACAGAACAATCCAATGATTCCTGGATCCAGTGCAACAAAGGCGGTGATACATACGACACTAAATCCAAAGAATAAATGGCAAAGACCACCTGCTAAAACGGAACTGTGGGCAAACGGGGCATGTTGCAGCCCTGCTCCTCTGAAATAGTAAAAAGTCTACTTTGTGCATTGACTGGTTTTGGTAAACTATGTGTTTGTAAATACCCAGAAACCTATTACTTGTGTACTAGACTCTCAGCTCTAGTACCTCATTACATCAGCAGGCATCTTCATCATTATATCATCAGCCTGTTACTGTCATGAAGAGCACTGCTAACAATGCACTAGGGCACAGCTGACCAACTCTAACTATCCACGAGGCACAAACTGTATTCATCAGGCCACGGACTGATGGTTTGATGAACACCACCCACAGAAAGAATGTCGGCTTAAACAGGTTTCTTTCTCCTTCTTACTCTAGACCCTGCGATATCTCTCCCAGCTTTGCCTGTATAAGCGTTTCATGGCCATAATGAGTTTGCAGAGACGATCGTGGTTCAAAAACAGCCAAAGAGAATAGGACTACTTTTAACACTGGTAATTAATGATCTGTTTTGCCAACCGGTCACAGAAGCGATTATGCTGTCCCGGCTGGAGGGTTAACGTGAAATGAGAAACAGAACAGGCGAGGATTTCCTACAGGCAGTAGTCTCAGAAGAAACCTAAGCCAAACGATGTGCCTAGGCCACAAGAGGCCACAGTGCTTCCCAGGAGAGCGTCAGG